GTAATAGTTGTGACCTAATTATAAGGAATTTATCAGAAAGCTACTCAGCACCTTTCCATGGCCCTGAACCTCCGTGGGCAAAGAGAAAGCCATGTAAAGTGGATCTGTGTTAAGGCTCCTTCTGACATCAGAAGTTATTAGATACAATCATTGTGGTTGGAAAGGACCCTTCAGATAATCAACACCAACCACCACCATAACTACCAAGTCCATAACGCCAACTTCTAAGTTTTTGTATCATAATGTCAATGTGCTCTTTCTACCTGCTTTCCCTCACGTTGTTCATGACACAAATTTGCCACCTTTCTTTTAACATTCAGATGTGAACACTTTGCAAGAGGGCACAAGTTTTGCATTTTGTGCCATTTGCACAGACTTTGCAAAGATACAACAGTTTAGCACTAGTTCTAGCAGGTCTTTTTGTGACTAACCTGTCCATGTTGTGCTGGCTCTCAGCTCAGCTTTGAGACTGAGGATTAGAAAATTGTACCAAAAAGATGGATGACTGTCGGTTGATGGTTTTTTGTTGACAAATATAGATAATTCATTGCCCAGGCAACTTGAGTTGACAGAATCAAACCATACTTTTTTTCAAAGGATGTGGTGGATTTACTTATTCCTGGTTCTGTGTTTGATTTACTACCACATGATTTCATTAAATAAGAACTTCGCATGAGGATTCCTGCCAAACAACTTCAGGCAAGGCCTGTATTCCCCACAAATCCCTAAATTTGAGGGTGGTGGGTGGGGGAATCATCGTATTTTTTTAGCAGATGTCTGTGCTGCCTGTGGACTGGAGTTTGGGGTGGTTTGTTATTACCGCTCTTGCTCTAAAGCCCTTGTAAAATGATGCTTATTTTCCTCCCATTAGATAATGAATTTGAATTTTTCCATCTAGTAAAAATGATGATAACTTTAATATGTATTAATTCTCTAATTAATCACAGCATTGGAAGGAATAAAGAAGAAACCTTCAAACAGGCAGTATTTCAGGCTTGAACTGACTTCAAGTTCAGGCAGGGCTGCTTGGAGCTCTGTCTTAGCCTTGTCTAATACGAGAGCACACAGCTCATGTTTGCTGGCATTTGTAAGTAGATAGAAGTGTTTAAGAAGGTTTCTCCCCCTAATGTCTGGATAAAAAAATCGATGTCCTGGTAGCTGGTAGCTCAACTGACCAGATCACATTAAATTTTGGGGTAAGAAAATGAGAAAATGCAAAGAAGATGATGCCAAAGAAAACGCAAAGGGATAAGAAAAAAGTGATGTAAATTGGCCAAGAAGTCAGTTACACTTCTTGGCCCAGGTTCTGAGGTGGTATAAATCATTACCATCCGGCTTCAGTGCAGCCATTCTACTTCACAGAAGTTTTCAAATTGACCTGTTGTTATCTTTGAGCAAAGATACCAACAGTTAAACTTACAGCCCCATAGAAATTTAGCCCACTTTCGTATGCTGATCTTTGCCCTCAAATGCGGTCAGGAGGACTTGTCCTAGTCCTCAGCATTAGGGTGCATTAGGGGCAAGTTGAGATCTGCTGAAGGTCTAGTGTGTAAGAGAGACATGTCTGGGACTGATCTGGGTCTCCATTTCTGAGGTAGGTCCTCTGCTCCAGACTGATTTCTAGATAACACCTGGCACGGAGAGGTTTAAGGCGTTTTAGTGATCCCTGTTCACTGTAATCATCCTCCACACACTTCTGTTGTTCTGAAATGCTCCAGAGAGCCTCCAGAGACATTTTGAGAACTGTTCTTTAGTGTCTATGCCAAGTGTATCTTACCTGAACCCGGGAGGCTGGGCCAGCACGCACAGCTCTCTGACTAGGCTGGGAAGGCCACCTGCTAGCAGTTAGCTTCAGTACTTCTTTTTCTTCTTTATTCCACTGTCCTTCTCGGCCATTTCATATCTTGGCTTCAGGTGACAAATGGCACCATCGACTGACTGCCATCCAGCAACCCATGCTGTTACTCCGAAACCAATTAAGTGTTCTGTTCATTGTCCCAAGTAATTGTGATTACATCATCTCCAAGTGACATCCAGAGCAAAGAGAAAAAATGGCCAAAACAGCTTAGTGCTCTGGGCTTATTGTTTAAATGTTTAAAGACTTTGCATCTGGAAAGTATTCCATTAATTTGTGGCTAGCACCCATATATCAAATCCATGAGCTTCCAAGTAAACAGCTGTCACTGGAGCTGCCATGGAGGGAAATTGGCACTACTAGCTTGTGGTGAGTAGAGAGGGAACATTCTGGTGAGGACTAATTCAAGGAGGAAACATTAACCCAAATGTGTAAAGGACAATGAAAGAATTGTTCCTTGCAGCTCCTCAACTTTTCATCTACATTAGCGTAAGACACAATTGAGGCCTCAGACTATTATGTGTGCTCACACATAATAGTGATGATATATATCATAATAGCCAGAAAGATGGGATTGCATGCTATAACTAAATACCATAAAACAGCCTCCACATCATCCCCTCTGAGCTTTGGATTTCCTAGAATATCAAAGTTTTCCTTGTCTAGCTTTCCTCTAGCCATAGGAAGGGGTCGTTCCACTCTAGCCCTTCCCCATCACATGAACAGACTATCTGGGCATGCACAGGACATTTCTTCTGTGTGTGTGCATTTAACTGATTATTTTGATACCTTAAAGTATCAAATTCACTGTGTGTATGGAGCCTGGCTGGGGAGAAGCAGGAAACTGTGGAGTGCCTGCGAAAGACAGCAAGCAGAAGCAAGCTAGAACTCATCTAGCCTGCATTCTGCTCCCAGAGGAGCGCCCAAGACTCGTGTTTCATTGATAAATGAAGCAGTGTGCTTCTAGGGAGGTTGAACCTGCCTGTGGGTTGATCGTGGGTCCTAACTTGAAGATAGATCCTGCAAGACAGCAACAGCTGCTGTTTATAGCACACCGTATAATGGATCAGCAGCACTGCTTCGATGTGACTGTGGCATCATAATCACTTGAACTGGATGTATTCACAAACTGATCTCGTCTCACAGCAGGCTGTTTCCCACCAGTAGCTGTTGTGACCTGGCAGCAAGTTGGCCTTACCAAGCCTTGGGAACTAATTCAGCCTAAAATGAGATCCACAAATTAAACACAACAAGATTTGTTCTCAGCAAGTACAGTTTCCTGAGGCAGCATCTGTGCACACAAGACATAGATTGTGTGTGTGAGGAAGGAGACTGTCTGTGTTGGTCACCACCTGTTCTTAGGTTGCTTCACATAGCCATCCTCTGGTTGGCACTCAGCTGGGGAAAAAAAATAAAAAAAAAAAAATGAGGAGCCAAATTCGTGCTTTCCTCATGAAAGACATGGTAGAGCAAGGATCTGTCCAGACATTGGTGTAGTGGGGAGACGTGTAGGTGTTTGGCACAAAATTTGAGCTGCTTTGGGGCAGTCAGCAGTGTCGGTGCCGAGGGCCCAGGCTGGAGTTGTGAGTTCATGTAGAAGCCACAGTGGCTCCAAGCAGTGTGAGAATTCCTACCTGAAGCCAGGTGCAAAGCTGAAATGAGGACTCTGATTCTGTTCTCAAATGGTGCTGTTGTTGGCAGAACCGGTTGTTGTGCAGCCTGAGGCAGGGGGGTGGGGGCCGGTTATTTTCAATTACGCGTTAGATCAGTGTGTTTTCCACATTGTGCTCCAAGTACATGAAATAATTCATTAGGAGGAACTGTGCACACAGAAGGGGGACAGTAGTGATATTGCTACTTAGGTTTTCCTGAGAGGGAGGATACAGAAATATTTAGAAACACCGCAGCAAGATGCCGTTGAGAAAGGGCAGCAAGAAGAGCAGTTTCCCATTCCATTTCCAGAAGGGAGGATCTGAGGCCAAGGAATGTATGGTGAGTCCACAGCAGAGATGGCCTCATCGGACACAGGGGAATCATGGATGACCTAGGATGCAAAGAAGAAAACAAAAGGAACGCACTTTCTCACTTCTGCCTGACAGATGCACTGGCATATACCGTCCTCTGGCTCTTCACTGGACTTGGGATTTACCTTCTGTTTACTAACTAGCCCAAAGTGGGTTTGAACTGGTGACCTAAAGGTGAAAGGCTCTGTACCTTATTAGAATTACTGTGAACTGCTGAATGAGTCCCCCGTGGCAGTTAATATTTGATTATGTTTCTAGAAAATGTTTAGCTTTTACAATTAGTGTCAAAGCAGTGGTAAGCCCCTCTTTGATTCCTGGGTGTAGGCTCGTGCTTTTCTTAACCTCACACATATGCTGGCATATTTACAGTAAGTGCTCAGGGGCTTGGGTTTTTTTATTATTTTTTATTATTATTTTTGAATTAAAAATGAAAGTTCCCCAGGGAAATTATGCAATGGGAAATAGCCACTTCAATAAACTTGACTCACACATTTTATTGATTATGGTAAATTTAATTAGTCCATTTAAACGTTGCTTACATACAAAAAAATTTATCCTTCCTACATGTTTTTTCCTGTTTTTGCATCCCTCTCTTCAGAGCCCCCTCTCCCTCCCCCCCCCCCCCCCCCCAAAAAAAAAAAAAAGTGCTATAAATTATTCTTAATTTTTGGTGGAAAAATAATCAGAGCTAAGCTTATAATTCTAAATTTAAAAAGAGCAAACATACAATAAATCTCATTCAAAACATTCTCAAACAGTACTACTAATTGTTAAGTAGAAGTAATTACTACTTTAATATTCTTTTGCCTCTGTCATATATTATGCACACCTTTTTTTTTTTTTTATAGGGAGACAATTACTTAAGTACAGAAGTTAAAAAAAAAAACAACCCACAAATAGATCAAAATAGATGTTTCTCCAACTCAGTGCTTTATTAGGTGATATTATTCATATTCTTTGTACTCAATACCTAAAGACCTCAATCTTTTTCAGAGGCCACTATACTAGGGTCTTTAGAGGTGATGGTCCAAAGCAAAAGAGCTTCTGGTCCCTGGGTCATCCTTGGTTTTTAACCTTTTTTCTTTAAAAGAGATGTGACTGGGTTTGTTTCCTTTTTTCAGAGTTGTTGTTGCTTCTTCTGATCTCCTGAGCCACTTCCAATCCAGGTAACCATCTTTTTTTTTCATTCTTAAGTTTCCAAACAGTCTCTTCTTCCAGAGGGAATTCATTCATTCATTCCCATCTTACTCTTTCTGAAGATGGGGATTGTTCCCACAAATAGGAATCTCTGGGACTGAGCTCAGAGCAATTCACTGTGGTTAGAAATTGGGTTGCAGCAAGGAGAATTACTGTTCTCTAATACAAAAAACTGAAAGTAATTCACAAAGTTCATCTGTCCCTCGATCCCATGAAGGGACTATTCTGAGCCAACCCATGTCAGCCTGTCATACCATGACAGAGGCCTATTATGGTTTGTTCCTTCTTGAAGCTTCAAAATTCAATCTGGAATGCAGTATTTAGGGTTCTGGATGCTGATGCTGATCTGTTTTAAAAGCTGAAATAAGGCTAGGGTTTGCACAGGTTTTCATTACTTCTAGACACGTTTTTCATCTAAGTGCTTTCTCGGGTCCATCTGAGCTGGGTTTGTTTGATCTCGCAGCTAAACAAATGCACATCTAATGTAATCCAAGAAGAATACATTTCTCTGAAGGTAGGTGCACCTCTTCAGTTAGTGAGGTGAGCCTGTGAGAAGCTGGTGAGAGCACGCAGATGCTGAAGGAGATGCAGCAGGGCTGGGGCACAGGAATCTCGGGCACTGCAAGTGAGAGGTGTCTCCTCTCTTCTCCCCTGGTTTCTTCTCCAGTTTCTCTCCTGGTGGCACATTTGGCTGCCACCACTGTTGAGCACTGTGATCAGTCCCGCATACTTCTGAATGTCCCTTCTTGGCAGAAGATGGGCTGGGAAATACTCCCCAGAGGCCTCAGTGCCCTTTCTACCTTCCCACATGACAGTATAAGTGACTCAGTGTGTCTGGAGCATCTCCCTTATGAGGAAAGGCTGAGTAACTTGGATCTGTTCAGCCTGGGAAGAAGACTGAGGGGGTATCTGATTAAAGCTTATAAATACCTAAAGAGAGGTGAGAGGCAAATGGATAAGGGTGGACTCTTCCCAGTGATGTATGGTGATAGGACCAAGAGCAATGGCCTAAAACTTGAACACAGGAAATTTTATATAAACTTATGGAAGAGCTTCTTTACAGTAAGGGTGTTGGAGCACTGGAACAAATTGCCCAGAGAGGTGGTGGAGTCTCCTTCTATGAATATATTCAAGACCCAGCTGGACACCTACCTATTTGATGTATTGTAGGGCACATGCTTTAGCAGGGGTTGGACTGTGATCTTGAGGTCCCTTCCAACCCTGCAATTCTGTGGCTCTGTAATATATAGGACGTTTGTCCCATGACTTGAAAAAAAAACTACTGGATAGTCTGTATCTTGGTAGGTTTCTGATTTATTGCTTTATTTAAAAAAATAACTGGATTTAAGTACTTACATATTTCTAAACGACTTACCTTAAGAATAACCACACTTTGATGTAAACTGGCTAGGTTCCCTTGAGTTTAATGGACTTACTCCAGCTTGTACTAGATGAGGATTAGGCTCTAAGATTCATACAAGCCCACTTGTGATGACCTTGAGAAGAATTTAGGTTAAAGATGAGTTTGGAAGCAAACTGAATCATGAGCTTGACTGATTTAGTTTGTTTTGCTGGCACGTTCTAGTTTTCTGAGAATATGACCTCGTTATAATATGTATTACACCAAATCCTTCACTTAATGAGCCCATTGCCACAGATGTCACTCCCCATGCCATAACTTCCCAAACCATTTCAATTTCCTTCCCCAGAACTGTCACCACGCTTGCTCTGGCTGCTGTGAGGAGGGAACTTAGCCATATAGCAGATCCCAGGCTCGGCTCTCAGCCTAAATGACATGCAGAAGAATTATTTTGCAGACGGACAAACCTAGGACATGTGTTCCTGCTGGGATCGGCACTCTGCTCTCCCTTCATGGCCTCCCTAACAAGAGTGCGAGAGCTCAGACCAACAGCCAACTCCTCAACAACAAAAGCCTCCTTGTCAGTACCCAGACTTACTCAAAACAGAGCAGAGAAGGAGATTTTTTTGACAGAGCTGTGGATCACAGTCTCATAAGAACCAGCTTGTCACCTAGTGCTGTCAGCAAAGCTCTAGATGAAGTTAAAAATTCACGAACTTGCTCCCTGCCTCAATTTCCAGAGCTGCGAGGATAGTAGTGTCTCTCTGTGGTCCATCGGTTCTGTGAGGATTGTTAAGCCAGGAGACATGATGTGCAGCTGCCATGGTGATGGTGGTGATATAGACAGGAATATAAGCAGTGCTCAAAATGATGTATGAGCTTGAAACCCATAGCAAGAAAGAACTTTGACATTTCACTTTAGAGATTAGGAATTGCCCCAGGAAAAAAAAAAAATCTTCCTTCTGTCCTAAGAATGGAGCCCAAATCTGATGTCTCTACTCCTGCTTTTCACAGTCTTGCATAATGATCTACATGAAAACTTTAGAGTAAAAAAGCCAAATGCTTCATGCTCTAAATTCTGAAGTGGAACAATTGCAGTGCTCTTGACATTTTTCATTTTCCTTTGGATGTTTTCCTTTCAAAGCAAAGTGTAGTCATAAAGGGATCTGCTGGTGGAGCTCCCTGTTTCAAAGAAATACATGTATATTCTTTATACCTTACATAACCACATATGGATATGGTGCTTTCATATGGCTCTTACTAAGTTTTTCCAAACATTCCTATTTACTGCTGCTTCAAAGAAGGCAGAGTCAAGTGCCCTGTGGAATCCTCACTCTCCCAACACATACAGGTCTCATGGTTGAAAGGAAGTTGCAATATTATTTCTTCCCCTGCCCTCTATTATTATTGTTATTATTATTAACAATAGCACGTGATGATCTGGTGAGGAGCCTCATACCTTCAGCTCCTGTGGGAGTCACTGATGAACAATATTCTCATAAAGGTTATTTGTCCACAATGTACTAGTAGTATGGTCAGTTCTACCCACCTTCCAGCTCTTCTCCAAGTGCAGGAGAAAGGTTAGGATTGTCAGAGGAGATGTCTAGGAGGAAAGTGTTCCTTTTGGGTAGGGGACCCTGGGGTTCTCTGTGAGCAGGCTTAGATAGAGCATGTTCTGTCATGCCTAAATCCTGGTTAGTGCTGAAGATGCACTGACACCAACGTGCCGACCTGTTTCATTGCACAGTGGCATGGTTGCATTACTCTGTGAATAAATATCTCCTTTCCCTTTGTTTACAAGAACACCATGGTTTCACAGTGGGGGGAAGACTTCATTTTTCCACATCTTTCTCTTCCTTTTGATTCACTAATTTTTTATGCTCCAAGATAGGCTCACTTTTTAAGCTTTGTTTCCCTTTTTTTGGTTGATTTTAGCTGCTACTGATTATTTCAAGAAAAAAAATTTGAATGCCTTATCTAATAGATGGCATATGTGCATGGCTTTCATCACTTTGCCATCCCTCCACAAGATTTCATCACATTTGCCTGGAATTTCATCTGTAACACACACCATAGAGCTGGTCTCAAGGAAAAGAGACAGTGGCTCACTACATGACATCTTTCTCTTAAGACACCATTTCCTTCTGCATGGCCCCCACTTGCCAGATTGGCAAGATGGGTTCCCCCCTTTGCCACATATTGAGAAACATGTGGCAAACAGCTTTATTGCCAAGACCAGCCTAGCAAGCTGGGATGGATGAAGAAGTGGTTTCCAGCTGGAATGATCCTCAATATTTTAAGTTAGACTTTCTTGGAGAATGGAAGAAGAGATTGGGTTTTGTTCCCTGCATATGTTCCACCGTAACTGGCAGTATCTCCCATGGCACGGAAGGATACCAGAAATCTGATGTAAAAGTTTCTCCTCCAGGAGATCATAATGATTTCTTAGTCATTGAAAAAGCCTAAGATGTCTTCAGAGTCTAACACTTCTTAGCAGCTAATCTGAAGCAAACCTGGAGAGGGCAACTGCGTAACCTGAGAGTTCTTACCCAGCCCTGTTGGACCACATCACAGCAGAGTTTGTGGTCAACTAACAAGTGTGTCACTGCAGAGTTCAGGCATGCCTTGAGACAAGAGTAACTACTGGTGCTCTATCTATCCTACATACTCCTTTTTTGAGCACCTCCCAGACATTACCGTGTTTATCCTCTTAGCACCTCTGTAATTATCTCTCTTGTAACAGATGGGAAACAGAAGAACATGGAGATTTTGCAATTTGAGCTGAGCCAGGCAGGAGCTCTTTGGCAGAAGAAGAGGCCTCCCGAGGGGTGAGTAATGTTCTTTTGACAATCACATTAGACTTCTGTTTGTATCTTTATGTACTTAGATACGAGCCCAGAATAAAGTGCAAAGCGTCTTACAGACAGCACTCAGTCTTTGAACGTGGCTCTTCAGGGAGCAACAGCTGGGCTCTCACTACTGTCCTTCCCAGCCTTTGTCATAATTCCCAGAGACCAAACCTGCAAAACATTTGCATTCTATTTCACTTTGAAGAATCAGCCCATATTTATGCAAGCAATATAAACATCTTTTTAGCTTGACATATACACAGAAAATTCAGAACAGATGCAATCTTTTTGTACAGTATTTTTCAGAATCATTTTGCACACTCTATCTTAAGCACTGTAACTGGCAGAGTGAATCAGGTGGCACTTGGCTTTAAATATATGCTTATGGTCAGCCCTGTTTCCAGTAATATCAATGGGAGCATTGCCAAGTACTAGAATATAGCACTAAACCTTAATCAGCAGCAGTGGCTGAGTGCAAGAAGTGCTGAGTGGAGATGCAGACCAACTGGACATCCTTCAGGTGAGGCGCATACTTAGCTGAATGGAGGGCTCTAGGTAAAATCAAATGGAGCAGTGGAAATCAGATCAGCAAGGCTACATCTGCCTAACAAACATCCTTCCCAGCATGTGAGTCAGTGGCAGGTTAATTAGGCATAGATAGGCAGGGAGCAGCAGTTATGACAGAAGCTTTAATAGATAGGATCATTTTCAGCACAATAATATTAATTAGCAATTGCGATAGAGAACATGAGGGCAGGTGGAGCACTTTCTGTCAAGGTATTTTTATAAAGAATTAGTGTATCAACACCCATTGTAAATACATTGTTCTTGTCGGGTATAATAAATGCCTTGGCACCAGCCCTTCTCACAATGGAAAGATAATTAAAGACACAATTGCACACTACTGTGTTTCTCCCAGATGCTAACTGTGTCACCAGAGAGATCTAAACAATTATGTTTGGAAAACACTGTGTGACTGTTAATAGCCATTTCCAAAACGCAGACAGCAGATATATTATGAAAACCACTGTGAGTATTGAGCCAGACGTGGAAAAAAATAAAGAAAAAATGTATTTCTGAAGCAAATGTGGAAATGTGAAGTGGCAGTTATGTGCCTAAACATTGTGGAGGAACTTATACCTCCAGCTTACTGAAGCCAAATTCAACCTCAGCCTCCAAATATTTACATATTTCAAAACTTTTATGTTTTCTTCATATATATGTTCTTCTTAGAAGCTTAGATAAGAAGAGCTGAATCCGGAAGACATTACTCATGGGAAATTTCTATTCATGTCATTGAATATTCACTACTGATAATCTTACTAATAATCCCGCTAATAATTGTTACGAAAACTGTGTTATATGACCTGTGGTATTTTATTATATATAACACATATCATACATTGTATAACTATATTACAGGTCTACATTACATACCTGTAATATTATATTCTAGTAATTAAACCAATTAAAGTGCAGTTATGATCTCACTAAACCCCAGAAATATGAGATGTCAATCGATTCCCTTTTTATCTAGATTAAAAAAAAAACAAAAAACATTAAGTGTTCTTATATCTGTGTCTTCATTTCTGACACACAGATAAATACAATCCAGAAGATGACTGCAGAGGGAAATGTGACCTGCAGCATGCACAATCTCCACTGTGAAACAAACTGCTGCTGGACCTGTACGCCTCTTTAGTTCCCACGGTACGTCTGAGCAGGCTTTTCTGTCACAGTCAATGTGTATTTAGTAATATTGCATAGTTCTTACAAATTTGGTATAAGCAATGCAGAGCCCTCTGTCCAGTATGTAAGTTTTGCACATCGTCCCTCAGAGGACAGAAGAACAATGTAGATGAGCCAAACTACCTCACTGTGGTCACATGCCTTTTTCCCAGGTGCTGAAGTCCCTAAACTGGTCCCTGCAGAATCAGCAGGCCCAGCTCTCCCTCTTGGCTCTTACAGGTTGAGAGATGATCCTGAATTAACTCTTTTGAAGTTACCCAGGACTACTGCGTGCCTGCCTGGAGCATGACACTATATTCTGAAATGAACATACTTGGAACAGAAATCTTCATCCTACCCAAATTCTCCCACGGTTTTTATAGTGGGGGCAAGATATTGGGCAAAACCCAGTTGCTGGGAGCTTGTTTCCTGGGGCTGAGTAATGGCAGTTTTGGGGTTTGTGCCTTCTGTTAAAAAGAAGCACTTGCTACAGCTGTGTTCATGATCACTAGAGGATGCATAAGAAAGAATTTGGATTATACAGAGAGACATCAGAGGAGTGGCAGTGACATAGGATTAATTCAGCTGGGCTCTGGTTCTCACACTGAGAAAGCATTTCTCACGATGCCATGCACTTTCATGCAGCATTGGTGTAGTTCTGTTCCAGGCTGCTGGGGACAGGACAGCGTTCACACTTTGTCTGCAGAGCATCTGCCCTATCATCAGGCCTTGATCTCAGCTATCATCTTTATGAGGGACTCTAAAATAAGCAATAATAATAATTAGGATAATATAAATGACCGACTAGTGGTTGTTACCTTTTAATATGCTCCAGAAAAGCTCCACACTTCAGTTTCAGCTCATCCAGAACTGTTTGTATTTTTATTGTCTTTCTGATGGGAGGAGAGTGTTAATGCCAAGAGCTGGAGACCACAGGGAGAAAAGAATTGTGAACTGATTTTTCTATTGAGACCCACAAGATTATGATCAGAAAATGAGGAAGAGAGGAAAATGTGGACAACATTGTTATTACTAAAATGAAAGAATTTGAATATAATCATAGCAGTTAGGGAAATGTGTTTTTAAAGACCTTGAGAGAGGTCATAATGAGAGTTTACTTTGTAGATCTAATCACAGTTTACAAGACCGTATGCCAGTTCCCAGTGGTGATCATAGGGAACAGCAGGACACCAGTAATTTTCCAGATGTGGCTTCCCCCCCTAGAAAGAGAACAAAAACCAATGAGAAGAACTGGAGTGACCCAGCCTCTGAACAGCTCTACATCTTTTGTCTGGGATGCCCATCATTAATAGTTTTGCTGTTGCCTGGTAGCATCAGGATAAATTCTTCTGCAGTGTGACTACAATAGAGAGGGAGAAAATCAAAGAGGAATAATAGGACTAATTTTATAGAAATGTCTTTATGCAACAGGGCTGAAGTGCACATACTGTGAAATCTTATCCAGGTATCTGATGAGCATTCAAGTTGCCATTGGTATTCTGGGTGATAGTGAGGATTCTGGGTTCCAGCAAGGCATTGCTACCTTGTGAAACATTCCAGTGTAGAGAAGGACACAATCTAAACTTCTGCCCTTTACCATAACTTCAGTGGTTGCCTGCATACTTGGCCCACCTTGGTCAGATCCATCCACCGTCTATGTTGGGTCTCAGCATCGCTCCTATTACACTGCAGTGTGAGCACCTTCCTGGTCAGAGCACACCAGTAATGGGACAGTTCACCTGGGACTTTGTGGAATCAGCAGATCTTCTCCCTTTTTTGTTTAAAGAGAGCTCTGGCTGGAGTAACATTTCTTCAGGAGTGGGTGTAATAGGAAAAGATATCTTGAAGACATTGGAAAAACAATATTCAGTAGGAAAGGAACCTCTGAAGTCATTTGATCTCCTCTGCACATTTTTCTTGCAGACTTACACCCTTGTTCCACACTGCTCTTTATCTCTGTCTTACATGCTTTGTTTTCTGGTTTGTGATTGACATCAGCCTGGAGAATGGAACTGTCACAGATGACACAGAGGTTTGTGATTTCACCAATCCATAACTTACTTGGTCTAGACTAGGGAGCAGACTAAGATCCACAAGAAGATGCCAAGTGCCTCAATAACTTCCAAATCTTTACGAGGGAGAAAGGCGTGGTATTTCCTAATGAGCTGGAGATAGAAGGAGGAAATTTTAGTCGGAGACATCGAGTGGTCATCTAAAAGCAATGATTCATCAGAGGACGCTAAGGCCTCCTTTTGCTTAGTCAAATGAGTGCTGCCTGGCCATGCTGCAGATCATGACAGGAGCTGCTGAGTCAAACAGGAGACCAGCTTCCAGCAGGGCTGTGCTGAAGAGAAGTGTGCTGCAATACACATTACTAAGGATTGGTGAGAGTCTTGGAGAAGAAAAGAAAAAAGCCCTCGTGGGAGATGGTCTATTTTTAATGAGCCCAAACCTCTTCCACAAATTAAGTGAAATATTTTAAAAGGAAACAATATTACTTTGGTTTTATTTGTTTCAGCTACTTAGTTACAGCTCCACGTGGACACAATTAATGGAGGAAATAGAGTATTTTATAAGCCCAGGACTCTAAGATAGATATTTTGTGACCATGTGAAATTCTTTGCCGTAATCACCACACATTCCTTAAAAGAAGGCTGTATATTGCTGAAAATTATTAACCTCGCTTCCAAAATGTTGTGTCTAGTCACTGAATGGCAAAGGTTACAAATTGTCACGGCATTGGTTAGTGATGAATTTTGCCCTCTGATTTTCCTTAAAGTCCCTGCTGTCCATTTCTGGCTCAGGTCCATTCTAATTCTGTTCAAAGTATTTGCCTGCAAGAAAGAGAGAAATGACCTTTCCACTGAAGCTAGTTTTATTTCCCAGATCCCTTTCAAACCCTTTGTGACTTCTTGTAAATCACCTGGATGTTCAGCACCTGATTTCTCCATTTTTTAATGGAAGGAATATGATTTTCCCCTTATTTACCCATTTACACGATGAATTTTTTAAGACAGTGAATCATCTTGTTTGGGAAGTATCTAGCACCAAACCATCTGATCTCTGCTGGTCAAAGAAGAAAAATCAAGGTAAAACCTGAGGATGAATGTTGTGGAGATGAAGAGTTTCATCTGTGCTTTGCCATGCATTCTTGGTGTTAGAAACAAAGAAGTCATCCTTAGAAAAATAATGGGTTTTTATTCCTCTTGGGGCTTCCTGAAATATCAGAGACAGGATCCATAAAATACCAGGTCTGGGCTTTCTGGCAGGAGTGAGTGTGACGGCAAGGTGTGATTTCTGGATTTCTGAATGGAGACAATTGATCAGTTCCTCAGATGATACAAACCTATGTACTTCATTATCCAGCCATCCGCTTCTCACAGGCAGGCCTCAGCATTCTCCTCTTTAGCTCTCAGATTGGCTTTGCTGAAAAGATTTCATTGCATCAGGCTATTACATGGAGGTAAACATCATCTTGTGGATGCAGTAATCTGTGCAAATACCCTGATAGCTAAGTGCAGTGGTGGAGTAAATAAGCAAACAGTCCCAACACCCCTTCCCCTCTACCACACCAATAAATATAGTTTACTGTACACATCACTCTTTGGGACCACGTAGGGGTGGTGTGAATCCATTAGCAGGGCAAGGGTGAGTGACTTCTGACTTCAGCGACCCTTAAAGTTAATCCAGCATTGTAGAGGCAGAATTAAATGTGATGAGCTCAGAAAGTGTGATAAAACCAGATTTAAGTGCACAGCTGGGCAGCAACCTATAAAGGCAGAATTTAAAACCATAATAAAAACTTTGTAATCTAATTACGACGGTAAAGTTAAAGGTGAGCTATTTGCAGCATGATTCACATGTACCACGGCTAACCTCTGACATCTTGAATATATTATGTGGTTTCTTCACTACAGGAGTAATTTTTTAGTTTCTCTCTTGCACTACATGGTTCCCCAGGTTTTATTCTCAGCACTTTGCAAAGCATCTGCCTTCCTGTGTTTCTCGCTTGAGGCCTCTCAGGGCTGCTTGTCCCCAAGCTCTGGGCACCCAGCACCCAGGCATGCAGGCAGGCCTTGTGGCAGGTGCGCATGTCCAAAACATCACAGAATGGGCCGAGTAGAAATCACAGCAAGAGCAGGTGTATTCCAAAGTGATTTCAGCCTATCCAGTCCTCATACCATCGGGGGGAGGATGGAGAAGAGGATACAGGCTGAATGCAGGATATGCAGCCAGCTCCCATTGAAGCTCATGCTCTCGTATCTTCATTACAAGTGGCACCTAATTAACGCCACCTCCAATATGCAGTCCCCTCTCTGATTTCTGTGCTGACTTTTCCCAAAACCAAAGCAATGGGAAAAACAGCTCCTTGAACTCTGCCCAGTTTTCCTTCAGCACTGCAAGTGCTGCTGGTAGACAAAGCTCCTTTTCCCTGGCTGATGGGGTTCAGAGTGCTCTTGCTGGGACACATGCTAACAGCCTTAAGTCCAAGTCTAACCTCTTCCACCGGAAAAACCACAAGAGGATAAATAATCTGATATAAAGGTCATTTTCCTGGGTCCTATTAAGTGTCACCCACATCCAGTGAGCACTACATATATGGGGATGTAGCAGTGGGGTCTAAGCAAGTCTGCTCAGCGTGGTAACAGCTGGGAAGCTGCTTTTTACTGTAGGACAAGCAGCTGGGAAGTTCACTCCTTTCCTTCAGCCAGTCTGTGTCAAGACAGAAATTTCAAGTCATTGAGCAATTTATCCCATGTGTTTGTTCTGACTTCTTTTTTCTACACATCCAACTAGAACAAAAATTTCAGATGAAAATCTCTTTATATGTGGTCTGATAAATTATACTGTCATTTTTGAACTAATAGAACTTGGTGGCATTTTATAAATCAAATTACATTTCATTTTTTTCTGCTTTAATTTAGCCAAAAAAAAGTTTCCTTTTAAGTCTGATTGACACCAAGCTATATTTCTAGAATGTTCTGCTTGCAGTTGTTATTCATGGAATTGTTTGTGAAATCAGCATCCCAGAATAAACAATGTTCTCTTCCAATGCCCTAGCTGATGAGGCCCCAGAAATACTTGCATTTGTGGTAGTGGATGTAGTATTATTATCTAAAGCAACAAAGAAATACTTTCAGGGAAAAAAAAAGAAAAAAAATAAGATTTGTGTTAGTTTGAGGTTTTCCCATATACACGTCCGTTACACATAAGATTACTTCATCCAAAACTCTCCTTTTCTTTGTACAGCCACATAACAACTGCACTGGGCTAGGATGCTCCGTGGAAGACAGCATCTTGTAAAAGCAGTCGGGGTCTACCAGAAAACACCACAATAAACACCACAAAACACAAGAAGGAGTCCGCCAGCTGCAGAAAGCCAACAGCAGGATCAAAAGAGAAATGTCCCAGGTACAAACAAGGTGAGATCCTACTGAGGCTAAGCCAGCAGCCACCCACTGCGTGCTCTGGTGGGTTTAGAAATCCCATCCTGTATGGCAGCTCCTGCATGCCTGAGCTCACTGACAGAGTAAGGCAGCATTTAACACCCTCAGTCTGCAAGGCACAGACAGGAGATGGTAAATACTTTGATAAGGAAACTGGAGTGAAAATACCAGCTTTAGGCAATCCAGATTTTATCGGGGAAGTATGCAGGGATGAGTAAGTACCTGACATGCCGATGTACCTATGCACAGTGCCAGCAGTCTGCCAGTCCGAACATCTGGCCTTAGGCATCACGCTCACATTTTCACACCCATGTGATTTTGGGGTACATTGTGGAGGCAGATTTTTGCATGGGGTTCTCAGTTACACAATGGTAGTGCCCAAAACGAATCTGCATCTCTGTCTGGACGCACCTATAGATTTGACACTGGATAACTACTTTTTTGCTATGAGAAGCTGCTTGGCTTCGTGAGGCTAATTATTCTGCTTAGCAGTGACATGCATTTCATAGCATGGGAATCCACGTGTGACAGGTGACAAAAGCATGCTGTAATTGAAGGGCTCATCAAAGTCCTGAAGAAATGAATTCCTGAAGAAATGAATATTGTGTATTGCTGTGTGAATGGGTGGTGTCTTCTGGCCCATTGCTGTTAGTTTGAGACCTAGATAAGACTGGTGCCTGGTAACATCCTAGTCTCTATAGTATGAGTATGAATCATGGGTTCTTCCTGAGGGCAGTGCTTAGTGTGGCTAATGACAGCCATAAGAAAGAGTGAGGCCCAGGAATGGATAAAGAATAAATTGGCTGCACTGTGCACAAAGAGGGCCAAACAGATGTCGGGCCTGATCCAGAGTCCATTGAGTTAATGGAAAGGATCCCTTTGATTTCATTGGACACTGTATCAGACCATTACAGCTTCTCAGGAAGTGGTGGAGACCAAGGGTAATAACTTGTGGTGACTGGGGTGGTGTGTGTTGCATAGGTGTGGGCTGTGAGGTTTTCATGGTGAAAACAGATGGGTCTTCAAGACCTGTCCATTTGGCCTGGGAAACCTTCCTGCCCCACCTCCCCACCTAATGGGAAGCAGTCTCCTGCGGTTTTGGTCCTCTAGCCAACATTCTGGTATGATCTCATGCAGAAATGCCCTTCTCCCTTCTGACTTCCACCTCTTCCTCACTGGGGTTCCGGTGTGATCCTGAGATGTTCCAGACCGGTGACTTGAACTGTCCACAGAGAAGGAAGGAATAAGGCCTGCTGAGGACTGTTCACCAGAGAGGATTTTTGTTGAGGACCAATAACAAAAATAATGTAAAGCAGGTGTTTCTGCAGTTGTGAGACATTTAAAAAACCAGAGTTGTCCAGCAAATCTCCCACTCACATTCTCATCCACGTGATAGGGCAAGGTCTCACACAAAGGACTGCAAGTAGAAAGTATCTCTTTGTACTAGTTGGCTTCGGGCTTGTACTAGGGCCTCTCTCCTCTTCTATTGTCTGTGCTTTTCTGTTTATTTAGGTGTGTGCCTTTGTTTCTGTTTTTACATTTAGCACAAGTAGAAAGGAAATGGGATTTTGTACGGCTTAGGAGCCTAGGAGCACACCGTATTTGGAATATGGGCCTTTATTTGTCCTCATACCACAGATGCAGGTGTTTGCAGGCCAGATCCTCCACTAGTATAAACTGCCCCAGCCTCCAGGAGAGCTCCCTCCGTCTGGCCAATGCATTTGAGGAGGTTTGTGATATCCAGAGGTGCACTTACGGGCTATACTCAGACCAAACTGATCTCATAAACCTCCAAACAGGAGTGAGAACTTGTAGCTGAGTAGCAGCAGCCATTTTCTCCTGGTGGCAGCTCCAGAGGGAATGGATCAATCGTTGCATACAGAGGTGTATCAGTAAACACGAGAAGCTGTTTCATTCAGGCTTGTTCATTTATTGGAAATGCAATTTTGGGAATAGTTTAGTTTAATCTAATTTATGCCACCTTGGAGAGGGGTGAGGAAGAAAATTATCAGGGTAATGTCAAGTCTTTTCTCAGGACAGACCCAACAAACACAGATAGCTTTTCTCCATGTCTCTTTGTCAGCAAGGGAAATCCTCATTGTGGAGTGAGATTGACTAGTGTCACTGAAGAGAAATCCTTTGTATTTCTCCTGAGAGAAACTCTGCTCTGAATGGAGTTTGCAGTTCACAGAGCCTGTGTAAACTAGCAAAGTTTGCTCAGCACTGGGACTACTACACTGATTTATTCTAATTGAAAAGACCTGGCTGCCAGGCTAAGTCCCCAGTGACTGAAAAAAGGGAAACATCACTCGCAATTTTAAGAAAAGGACAAATGAAGACCTGGGAAACTACAGGCCAATGAGCCTCACCTCTGTGCCTAGGAAGATCATGGAGCAGATCCTTTCGGATGTTAAAGTACGTGTCAGATGAGAGATATGAGAGAGTCAGCATGACTTCAGCAAGGGCAGATTGTGCCTGAACAGCTAGGGGGCCTTTTATGATGGAGTGATGGCACTGGTAGACAGTGGCATAGCACGGCATGGGGGCTGGAACTAGGTGATTTTTAGGGTCCCTTCCAGGCCAAGCCATTCCATGGAGGCCAACCTGAGTTTCTCTTCACATTAGATCAAATTCCACATAATCCACATCTGTATTTTCAATCTACTCCCCAATCTTTCATTAAAACCTATCAGTTCTTATACAGCTGATCCCCAGATGTCTTCATATAGACTTCTTTCCCCTTTGCGTGCACATTATTGCCAGTGTCAGCAAAGGAGTTCACAATGGTGGTGGTGTGCACACACTACAGTGGTGGCAATCTTGGCTCGTGCTGAACTGGGTCTTCAGTACATAGCAAGCCTCAGTCGTGACTCTACAATAACCAGCATCCAAAACATAATCTCTCACTCCTCCCGATAATAACACACTTCTAGACCTGTTTTAAAAAGAGCTGGCACTGAAAAACACTGCTGAACTTTCTGTGTGAGGTAAGGGTCAGGGTACAGCTGAGTGAATTTCCTAGCAGAAAGGGTTTGCAGCATCTTGGCGATTGTACCAGAACATAGCTAGAGAATGCCTGGGCCCTGCCTTCCAGTCCTCTTTTTAACCATACTGGCTTGTTTACATTTGGGTGGTAGATGGGTGGATCCCTTACTGCAGTTTTTGGCTTGTATCTGTCCATGTGGATGTCAACATAAACTGCTGCAATTATATCATAATCAAGTCCTGCTATAGGAAATGATTAGTCGGTTCATTTTCCATAAATACTGGCTGGCTTCACCTGGCAGTGGCTGGGAATTGTCATGGCAGATATAAAAACCCAGAGAATATGAGGATTCATAACTTCATGTGAGTTATGGTGTTACCCAGGTGACAAAGTCTAACAAGACTATGGTATTAAATTTAGACATAAACAGGATGCCACAGGAGAAATGTCAGCTTTTAGACTGGGATTCGGATAGATGAAGCAAAAGCACAGGTATTTTGACACAAGGGCAGTATTGCTGTCCTGTTTCAGTCAGGAAGTTAATTTCTTATTAAAGTAAGCTCCACTCTAATGAAGGAATTGTAAAATTTCAGATTGAAGTTCAGAAACATCCAGGCTTTATAATAATCCAGCTCTTCCAATTCCTACCTTTCCACTACAGCAACCTTTGCTCTTCCGTACCCGCTGGTTCCAGTGGGTGGAACTGAATATAAAATGTAGCCAGCGTATTAACTTCAAGGCTATTTATTCTACAAGTGAGCTCTAATTCCAAATAACACTGATGCCAACTTTTTTTTTTATCCCCCGGGACTCAGGCATACAACACACTTTCCTTTACTGGAGCTCATCATTCTGTAACTCCAGAAATTGTAATATAAACTTTGGCTACTATGCACACGTCAACTTGAAAACACAGCAGTGATCTGGGATTTTAATTCAAGCAAATTTGAAAGTGGATTAGAAATGGAATCCAGCTGCACCTCTAATAGTCAAAAGACAAATTAGCAGAACATTGGAGCTGAAATTAACTCTGTCCTTTCAATTTCTCCCCCCACCCCGCCCCTTTTGCTTCAGAAGGGGAAATACATAGACCAAGAATACCATAATTAAAATGTCATTTACTCCTTACCTTGGTAGAAGCTTTCACCAGCTGAGTACATCTCAGTTTCCATCCCAGGCATTTACCTACAGCACACGGTTGGAGGAGGAGGGGTTATTACTTGTTTTAAGAAATTAGAAATCAGAGGCACGCACAGTCTGTCTGTTTTAGTCTTCAGAAAGCGTGTTGCCAGGCTCTACAGGTTATACATCATTAGTGCACGGAGTGTCCAGGAGAGCCCAAAGCTTGTGCAGGTGTGTTGGCAAAGCTCACACCACTTCCCTCCCTTTTCCCTCTCTGCTGCACTTCCAGCAAGCCGATACTTGAAACTCAATGCGGCAAAATCGCAAAAAGCTCTTCTGAAGTTTGTTAGCTCAAAGCTCACCCAGCAGACGTGACTGTGAGATGGCGCATGGAACCTGGAAAGGACTCACTGGAAAAACAAAACCATTGAGTCAAAAGCTTAGTGTGTTTTTCCATGATCATATGAAAAAAAAAAGTGCATGTGTGTTTTTTTAAGCACTTTCAGATATTAGAAGTTTAGTGAACACAGAGACAGTTTCTTCTGTTGTTTTTTTTTTTTTCTTTTCCCCTGCTCTTGAACTTTCGGAAGGACTATAGGGAATATATTCCAGCCTGTTTTCAATGACCCATTCATATGGTGGTTTTATTTCTGTTTTTCCCAAAGGGGAACAATCTTTATTCTATCTCTGCTCCTGGCATTAGCTGCCATTATTTGTGCATCCCACTAAAATAATCAATAAAGTGAATGGCATCTGAAAATAATTATACACGCAACTCTTCCCTCGCTTCCAAGACAGAGACAGAAGCTGGGAAAAGAGCCTTTGCATATTCAGCACTTGTTAAAGAAATGAAATATAGCAC